TAGTAATTGTTCAAAGAGGACATGATCAGCTCATGGACATTCTTCTGATGGGTTGGTGGTGAGCTAAGTGGGAGTCAACATCTTCAACCTTCAGGTCCAACTGGTCTGGGATCTACATGCTTCTGGGCAGCATAACATCGTTAATCATAAATTCTCCCACCTGGAGGGGGTTTTAGTACCTGTAAAATAACTCAAAGATATTGCTGTGTTTATCTGTTGATAGGGAAACAGGACCTTGCCCCAAGACTGCTCTTGACTGTTTCTCCCTGGTCTCACATCCACTCCCTTCCCTGATTAACAACTGCTTGACTCTGCCCTTTGGAACTCAGGGAAGGTCATGGAGACTGGCTGAAAGCTATTTCCTATAATACAAGAAGTGAGGGGACACAGATAAGTCTTTGTGCCCATGAGCTTTGCAGGGCCCTGCGCGGTATCACCTTCTGATTCTAAGCCCCAGTGCTCTTTGTTGTAGATTAGAATATTCATGTTCCAGGATGTTGAGGTCAGGTTGGACTGACCTCTCTTTGTCCAGCTAGGGGACAGACAGTTTTGTGTGGTGAGCAAGTTACTTAAGTGCTCTGTGTCCCAGTCAGAGTCACGGGTAGGATGTAGCAAGCATAGCATACCTTGCCTCACTCTGATCCTAGCTCTGACCTTAGTTTCCTCATTGGTAAAGTGGGACTAATGTTAATATCCGCCTAATCAGTTGTGATTCAGTAAAGTAGTCTACATAAAGTGCTCGGCCCAAGATAAGACTTCCACAAATGTTAGCTCTTTGGGCCAAGAATCTAAAGACAAAGTAAAGGTAAAAAGTTTTAAGTCTGAAGAACGAAGAGGGTCAGAAGGCAGTTTTAATTTGGTGAAGGGCATCTAACTTTATAAACCAAGTTATGTCTTTTATGCTTCTTTCCCTTTAGTTCTTTGTGACAGAAGGGAGACAGAGCAGCTCTTCTAGCATTCTGCTTAAAAATAATTCTAAAAACATGAGGAACAAAATAACAATAAAAAAACAAGCAAAAAAAAAAAAAAGGACAGACTTTTGGGCACAGTGGGAGAAGGAGAAGGTGGATGATTTGAGAAAATAGCATTGAAACATATACATTGCCATATGTGAAATAAAAAGCCAGTGGGAAGTTGATGTATGATGCAGGGAATCCAAAGCCAGAGCTCTAACAACCTGGAAGGATGAGGTGGGGAGTGAGGTGGGAGGGGCGTTCAGCAGGGAGGGGACACGTGTGTACCTGTGGCCAGTTCATGCTGATGTATGGCAAAATCCATCACAATATTGTAAAGTGATTATTCTCCAATTGAAATCAGTTTTAAAAATAAGACTAAAGATAGTGAAGAATGTATTTCTCATTCTAAACAAACTGAAAGGTTGGATGAAGAAACGTAACAGGAGATAAAATTGTCATGAAAAGGAATAATTACTATAAAAAAAAAATTAATTGTTACTGGCTTTCATTTCAACTTACTTTTATGTAAGTTGCCTTAAAGTATGTTTTTGTTCAGTCGCCAAGTCATAGCTGACTCTTCACAACCCCATGGACTATAGCACACCAGGCTTCCCTGTCCCTCACTATCTCCCGGAGTTTGCCCAAGTTCATGTCCATGCCTTAAAGTATAACTCAGTGTTAGTTGAGCACAGAAGGTATTCGTAAGTATTTACCAATGGATGTCGTGGTTTGGCCAGGATGTCAACTAAATAGAAACCATATTAAATGTGGAGATATGTGTATGCAAAATACACATACATGGATAGAGTGTCATATCCTGTTATGTCGCAAGGGAATTATAGCTAAATTCCATTCATACTTTATGTGTTTAGGTTGAACATGTCTTTATGTAATTATGATTCAATAACATCCTTCCAAGCTGGTTCCTGGTTTTAAGAGGAAATGAGGTGTCATTTAGCTTGAGGTCATTGTCAGTGAACTGTTTAGCCGCGACAGAATTTAGCTGCAGAAGACATCCCTCTGGACTTCAAAAAGAAGCATGTAGTTTATTCCCTTCAGAGTTTGTTTTTTGCTCCCTGTGCTTGTTTGCAGCTCATAATTTATATTGAACATTCCATTATGTAAAAATTAATGGAAGACATTTTGACAGTGGTAGAATTTCTGGTAGGTTATAGAATAGCTCGAGAAGGAGAAACTTGAGAGAGGTGAGATGAATGCATTCCAGAAAGATTCACAATTACAACCAGTGACTGAAGCATGAAATTAAACCTGCAGTTCACTCTCCACAGAGGGACCAGACTGCAGCTTTAAAGGTATAATTCAGATTAAATCCTGCCAATTTTGAAAACCCTCCAGTTGTTTTTCTATTGCACTTAGGTAAAATCAAAATAACTTTCTATTTGGGACCTTTCTCAAAGCCCCTGCTCTCTTTGGTTAAACTACCTTGGGTGTTTGTTAATGATGCTTTTAGCTTCATGCAATAGAAAATCTAACTTCAAATATTTCAAACAATAAGCGGACTTTATTCCACAAGGGGTACGTCTGGGAGAGGTAACTTCTCGGATGGTTTATTCAGCTGTGCGATTTGTGACTGTGGAGGACTCGGTTTCTAGCTCTGTCTGCTCTGCCACCTGTAGCATATTTGTACTATATTGCCAGCCCTCATTGTATTGATAGTTGCCAGGTGACCATTGCAACCCCAGGCCTCATATTCTTATGTATCAGCATCTGACCTCAAGAAAAGACTCCACTCCCTCTTCCAGAAGTCTTTCCAGAAGTCAGTCACTCCCTGTCAGTCTTTCTGTCTCCCGCATGCACGCACACACCCAAGGAGGGATTGGTAATAGTCCGCTTAGGGCACAGGAGAAAACTGAACACAGGCAAAGGAGCTCTCCACCAGCAGGGAAGAAGAAAAGGGATAGATCCCTGTGGGCAGTTGGTACTTTGTGGCGTCTGTATCACACTGGCTATTTCTTTTACTTAGAAAAGTTTTCTCCTGGATCTTTGTATTGTTGACTCCCTTTTATCACTAAAGTCTCAGCTCAGATGTCATATTCTTTTTTTTCTTAATTTATCTATTTTTAATTGAAGGATAATTGCTTTACAATATTGTGTGAGTTTCTGCCAGGCATCAACGTGAATCAGCCGTAGGTACACACATGTCCCCTCCCTGTTGAACATCCCTTCCACCTCCCATCCCATCCCACCCCTCTAGGTTGTCACACAGCCCTGGTTGGAGTTCCCTGAGTCATATAGCAAATTCCCACCGGCTATCTATTTTACATATGGTAGTGTATATATTTCCATGCTACTCTCTCCATTCATCCCACCCTCTTCCTTCCCCCCAGCACCCAGAGTATCCGTAAGTCCCTTCTCTATGTCTGCGTCTCCATTGCTGCCCTGCAGATAGGTTCATCTGTACCATTTTTCTAGTTTCCACATACATGTATTAATATATGATATTTGCTTTTCTCTTTCTGACTTGGTTTGAGGTGGGAACCCTCAACTGGAATACCAACCCCCATCGAGAATAACAACTTTCTGCCTTCTGCCTGTTATCTTGCTTAAACAGCTTTTGCTCACCACCTCTGCTTCTGTAATCTTGCTTGCCCATTGCTTCTGCCTGGGGCGGAGCCCTGGGTTGGGGAGAGCAGGGTGGGTGGGGGTGTCTGGAGGTGACTCCGCTGAGCCCGCACTGGTGCTGAATAAACCCTGCTGTTCTGCATCTCCAAGTGCTGCTCGTCTCTTTCCACCACCACAGTTTCTATAACAGATTTATCCTGTAAAATAGGCTTTAGATTCATCCATCTCATTAGCACTGACTGAGATCATTCCTTTTATGCCTGAGTAGTAGTCCGTTGTATATATCTACCACAGCTGCTTTATCCATTCATCTGTCAGTGGACATCTAGGTTGCTTCTGTGTCCTAGTACTCCTAGTAAATAGTACTGCAGTGAACTTTGGGGTACCTGTGTTTTTTTTTTTCAGTTATGGTTTTCTCAGGGTATAGGCCCAGTAGTGGGATTATTGGGTCATATAGTAGCTTTATTCCTAGTTTTTTATGGAATCTCCATACTGTCTTCCATTTTGGCTGTATCAGTTTACATTTCCCACCAATAGTGCAAGAGAGTTCCCTTATCTCCACACCCCCTCCAGCATTTATTGTTTGTAGATTTTTTTGATAATGGCCTTCCCTGAAGGGAGGTGATATCTCATTGTACTTTTGATTTGCATTTATCTAATAATGAGTGATGTTCAGCATCTTTTCATGTGTTTAATTGCCAGCAGTACGTCTTCTCTGGAGAAATGTCTGTTTAGGTCCTTTGCCCATCTTTGATTGGGTTGTTTGTTTTTCTGGTATTGAGTTGCATGAGCTGCTTGTCTATTTTGGAAATTAATCCTTTGTCAGTTGTTTCATTTGCTATTATTTTTTTCTCATTCTGAGGATTGTCTTTTCACCTTGTTTATAGTTCCCTTTGCTGTGTAAAGCTTTTAAGTTTAACTAGGTCCCACCTGTTTATTTTTGTTTTTATTTCCATTACTGTAGAAGGTGGGTCATAGAAGATACTGCTGTTATTTATGTCATGGGATGTTTTGCCTGTGAGTTTTATGGTTTCTGATCATACCTTTAGGTCTTTAATCCATTTTGATTTATCTAGTTTCATTCTTTTGCATGTAGCTGTCTAGTTTTCCCAGCACCACTTACTGAAGAGACTGTCTCTGCCCCATTGCATGTTCTCGCCTCCTTTCTCAAAGATAAGATGTCTGTAGGTGTGTGGGTTTACCTCTGGGCTTTCTGTCTTGTTCTCAGATACCATATTCTTAAACAGGCCTTCCCTGATTGCCTTGTCTCCTACCTGCCTTAACTTTCACATTACCCTTCATTTTCTCTCTTTTTTTTTTTTTCATTTATTTTTATTAGTTGGAGGCTAATTACTTTACAATATTGTAGTGGTTTTTGCCATACATTGACATGAATCAGCCATGGATTTACATGTGTTCCCCATCCCGATCCCCCCTCCCACCTCCCTCNCCCAAAGGAATTCGAACGTACAGCCTGGGTTGAAACATCAGGCCCGAGAGGCCCTCCTGCAGTTCCCATCTTAGTTCCAGGATCACCCTGTGCTTTGGGCAAGTCTCACGGCTGGCACAGCCTTGGTAAGGAGGGGCACATTTAACTCCCAGCATTCCCTGTCTCTAGCTGGGTTGCTGTACTGACCACTGAGGGAGAGAGCGCCTTAGAGAAAGGGCTCAGCATACACAATAGAGAGACACAGGAAACTGTCAGTCTGGAAGGGAAGTCAGGGTCATCTGGTCCCAGTTCCTTGCCCACTACAGGCATCCCTCTCCAGAAGCCCTCCTGGGTGGGTGCCACACTTCCAGGGCTGGGGCTCCCCACCTCCTGGGGACCTCTCCTGTAACCTTGGGCTGAAACCTGCCGACATCATCCTGGAGGAGGCAGGCTCTATGACCTCAGGGCCTTGGTGGTGGCAGTCAGTGGTCACGGGCCCCACTCTGCTGTCTGCATCCCCACCTAAGGGACAGTGTCCACACATACTTGGCCGATTCCAGTTGAAGGGAGAGAGGATGGCCTTGTTTCTGTGTTCCACAATTAGGCGGAACTTTGACTTATTTCCTGGAAGTTAAACTTCCTCTGCCCCTTTGTGAATATCTTTCTGAGTTCCTGCAGCAAACCCAGATCATCACCCTGCAAAGTAGCTTTCCTCAGGTCAAGGCCAAGGATTTTTCATTTCAGGTTGCAGATCCTCTAAAGGACAGCACATTCCAGGGGCCTCCTTGCTCAGATGGAGAAAGTGAGGCCAGAGAGTGAATGACTTCCGAGAGGTCACAGAGCAAGTCAGGGGCACAGACGAGCCCAGAACTGATGGGTTCCTGCCCCGTGGGCTGGGAGCCGCACACGTGCTGCCTCACAAACAGCAGACAGACCCAGGAGACCAGGAGCTCAGCCCAGCCCAGCCACGTACTCTCTGGGGGCCTTGATTACTTGCTTGTCTCTGGGCCTCAGTTTCCCCATCTATGAAATAAAGAAGCTGGACCATGCCGCTTCTTCACAAACTTCTAATTTTTAGTAGGAGAATTATGTATTCCATAGAAGCCAATATTACAAAACAACCCTCCTGGCTTAACCTTCCCCACCCCACCTTGCTATGAACCACAGCTTGAAAACCAGAGGCAGCTTCACCTCCTAGGTCCTTCCAGCTCTAACTTTCTACAGTATTGTTTTCCTTGAGAAATTATCCTGGACCATTCAAAACAAGTCAGCCGAAGGCAAGGTATTATCTAAAAAGAGTCAGTTCAGACACCATTGTTTCAAGAAGGCAAATGGAAAATCAGCAGCAGATCCCACTGGAATCTTTCAGTGACCAAGAGTTTCATTTCTAGTAAAAAAAAAAAAAAAAAAATAGAAACAGTGGGTGTTCTCAGAGGACCTGTGGTTTGGTTCTGGACCTCCCCCTGGAGCCGATTGCTGTCCCTGAGGGTGAGGAGGGTAAAGGACTCTGCTCAGAGCCTCTGTGAGCTCATCCACAAGTGTCTGATCTCCAGTTCCAGCTGTTCAGCCTGGACCTTGTCCTGCGTCACCAGCTTCCAGAGCCTTTGGGTCTCGTCTTGAAGCCAGTAGAACGTCTGCAGCAGCTCGTTCTCTGCCTTTGGTGGCGGGCATTCGAAGATGTCAGAGCTATCTGTGAGCCAGGTTTTCTTCTCCAGTCTGTGTTCTGCCGCCCACCTTGGCGCCTTCTCCTCTAGCAGGGAGAAGGGCCTCCGGCCATCCTCTGCAACCAGCCTTTCTGCCTGGTTGAAGAGACGAGGTGGGAACCGTGGGGACAGAGAGGGGTCTCTTTGAAGGCAGAGGCTGCAGGCTCCATGGCTTGGCACCTGGGCTGTCAGAGAGGGCTGGGCACTGGCCGTGGGCAGGTAGATATCCTCTTGGTAGGATCCTGACTGCTGGGGTACAATCATGGATCCAGGGACGATGAGGCTTTTGGTTGTGATCAGCTTGTAGAAACGGAAGATCTCTCAGAAGGACACATCGAGACCTCTCTTTGGCATGACCTCGACCCCCTGCTGTGGATTATAGGAGCGGTATTCCAACGGGTAGTTCAGGCGCGGTTTGTTGGCACTGATCTCATAGTAGTGGACGTTCCTGTCTCCCTTCCCCACCACGGAGAGCATGTTGGTGTCTGCATCGTGGAAGGGAAGCAGCACGCCCGAGGGGCCGTCGAGGTCCACCTCTGTGACAGACACAGAGAGGCAATCCTAGTCCCCTAGGGCCATCTGCCGGTTGCTCCCTCGGGATGTGCCTGTGGGCAGCAGCTTCTGCAGGTTCCCCAGAAACAGTGCTTTGTTGGCCCGGTGCCTTTCTATTGGCTTCCTGAAGGATGGCCCCTGCTCGGGAGTCCAGAACCCGAATCTTGCAGTCTTTACAGGCACTGGCCAGCAGCCTGCCATTAGTATTGAAGGACATGGAGAGGATCACGTCTTGGTGACAGTTAATTGTCTTCACGGGGCTCATGATTACAGACTCCTTTGAATCCAGGTTCCAGATCATCACCCTGTAGTCGTAGCCGGAGCTGAAGAGGATGTTGGCAGCGCCACTCCACCAGGCCCACTCTGCGGGCGTGGCCCACCAGCTCCTTCCTGAAGGCTGTGAGGTTCTTGGTCAGCAGCTACTTGGGGATGTCCCAGATTTTAATCATGGCATCTTCAGAGCAGGAGGCAAGCTCGCAATCATTGAAACGGTTCCATCTGACATCTAAGACATTCCCTCTGTGCCCGCAGACCTTCAGGTAGTGGGGGTCCAGCTTTCCCATCCGGTGCAAGGGGATGACGAGGAACGCACCCTCACCGGTACACTCAGTCACGACTGCAATGAAGTGGGGGTTCACAGCACAGAAATGCTTGTCTGGGACACTGTGGGTGATGGGCACAGGGTTGTAGCAGTTCTTGCTGGCTGGTTTGCCAAAGATGTGGCGGAACTTGGAGCTCCGGTACTGGGGGTGCCATGACATCTTAAAGTTGCTCAGTGCTGCGCAGGTGCCGCTCCCATCTTTTAGGATTTAAATAGCTCTGCTGGAATCCCATCACCTCCACTAGCTTTATTGGCAGCAGTGCTTCCTCGGGCCCATTTGACTTCATGTTCCAGGATGTCTGGCTCTGGGTGAGTGACCACACCATCGTGGTTATCTGGGTCATTCGATCTTTTTTGTATAGTTCTGTATATTCTTTCCATTTCTTCTTGATCTCTTCTGCTTCTATTAGGTCTTTACTGTTTCTGTCCTTTATTGTGCCCATCTTTGGATGAAACATTCCTTTGATTTTTCCAGTTTTCTTGAAGAAATCTCTGGTCTTTCCCCTTCTGTTGTTTTCCTGTATTTCTTTGCATTGTTCTTGGAAGAATGCCTTCTTGTCTCTCCTTGCAGTTCTCTGGAACTCTGCATTCAGTTGGGTGTACCTTTCCCTGTCATACCCACTAGGACAGGTATAAGCAAAAAGACAAGAAGTATTGACAAGATTATGGAGATATTGGAACCTTCATACACTGATGATGGGAAGCTAGTCTGGCAGTTCCTCAAAAGGTTAAGCATAGAATTACCATATGAACCAGCAGTTCCACTCCTAGGTATATATTCAAAGGAATTGAAAACATGCACCATGTAAAAATGTGCATCATACAAGAATGTTCCCAAAAAAAGAATGTTCACAGTATTGTTCATAATAGCAAAAAAAATGGAAACAACAGAAATGTCCATCCGCTGATGAAAGGGTAAATATAAAATGTGCTATATCCACACTGGAATATTATTTAGCAGGGAAAAGGAATAAAGTCCTCATATATGCATAACATGAATGAACCTTGAAAACAGTATGCTAAGTAAAAGAACCTAGTCACAGAAGATTGCCTATTATGTAATTCTGTTTTTAGAAAACGTCTAGAATAGGCAAAGCCACAGAGAGAGAAACAGATTAGTAGTTGCCAGGGGCTAGGAGGGTCAGAGAGGGAAGTAGGGACTGACTGCTAATGGGTATGGGATTTTTTTAGGGGGGGTGATGAAGAAGTTTGGAAATTCATTGTGGTGATGATTGCACAATTGCAAATGTGCTTTAAAAAAATTGAATTGTATACTTCAAATGGATTAATTTTGTGGTATGTGAATAGTATCTCAAAAGCCATATGAATATAATGACTTTGGAACTTCCCTGACAGTCCAGTGGTTAAGACTCCAGGCTTCCAACGCAAGAGATTGGAGAACTAAGCTCCCACAAGCCGCATAGCATGGTCAATAAATAGATACAATGACTTTATTAAACCAGATACTTTAAAATCAGTTTTGTCGAAGTATAATTTACATACAATTAAAGGTATATTTCGGTATACACTTTGATGAGTTTTGATAAACATATACCTGGCTAGCCACCACTTCATTTCCGTCACCCTAGAATGTTCATATGTGTTCTCTTTGGAGTCACCCTCTACTCCTGCCTCTGCCCTTAGGCAACATTGATCTGATTTCTATTACTCTGCTGTGCTATAGTATTCTATTACTAATTGTTATTGCTAAAATACAAGAATTTGTATTATATGGTTATTTATCTGTTACTATACTACACTGTCCTATTCTCCCACCATTATTATTTTTTGTGTGGTACCCAAATAAAGATGGCCGTAATGAATAAAAGTACAATTGAACCTAATTACTAGCCTCAAAGAATGAGGTTAACATTTGTGTTACAGTGAAAGAGCTGCACTGTGAATACTGGAAATGTGATCTTGTTTTATGTTATAAAATATATAACCAGTGTTGATCTACCAGTGCATAATTAATATTTTTAACTTAGAAAAGGTACACTTTTACTCTTATAAAAAGATGTACCTTTAATTAGTGTAGATGTAAGCATTACATCTTAAATAATGACTTTCGCTAAGGCATAAGTGTTTTTCTAGTAATAATAGCTTATATTGAGTGTTGTCTCTGAGCCAGGCACCAAGCTTGGTTATTTACATGCATTATTTCTAAATTCTCACAACAACTCTTAAGATCCTTAGAAAAACATCATCATAAAAATGAGTCCAGAGTAATATAAGTAATTAGATGACATAGCCAGTTAGTGTTGGGATTGGAATTTTTAGAGTGGGAAATCTTAGTAATATATGTGAAAATCAACGTTTGAAGCTTAACACGAAATAGTTATTTATCTTTACTAGTGAGGTTAAGAAAGGATTTAAGTAAAATAGACAAATCCCCACCTATAAAGGACATAATAAATTTGACTGTACTACAGTTAAAGTCATTAAAAAGAGCATAATAACAATAGTTAATATTTATTGAATGTCTACTATGCACTACTGCAGTGTCGTATATTTTTATTGATACTTAAGTATGTAGTAAATATATAAAGACCTATAAGGGATTGATATGGAAATAATGCACATCCACATGGCAGTTACCTTTGGAGAAGAAAAGGGTAGGGATTTAGCTGTATCTAGCTGTATCTAGCTGTATCTGTAGTGTTTTAGTAAGATCATGTGGTTAAGAGTGTAGCCTCAGGACTTCGCTGGTAGTCCAGTGGTTAAGACTCCATGCTCCCAATTCAAGGGGCTCAGGTTCGACCCTTGGTCAGGAAACTAGATCCCACATGCCTCACAGCTAAGAGTTAACATTGCCACAGTGAAAATGAAGATTCCACGTGTTGCACCTAAGACCTGGTGGAGTCAAATAAATAAATATTTTTTTAAAAGAAAGAAAGGGCAGCCTGTACCACATCCTTGTTTGTGTAACGCAGAACAAGTTTCTTAATCTCTGTCAGTTTTCCTCATCTGAAAATGAGCCTGTTAATCAGTTCAGTCACTCAGTCATGTCCAACTCTTTGCAACCCCACGGATTGCAGCATGCCAGACTTCCTTGTCCATCAGCAATTCCCAGAGCTTGCGCAAACTCATGTCGACCAAGTCGGTGATGCTCTCCAACCATCTAATCCTCTGTTGTCCCCTTCTCCTCCTGCTTTCAGTCTTTCCCAGCATCAGAGTCTTTTCCAGTGAGTCAGTTCTTTGCATCAGGTGGCTAAAGTATTGGAGTTTCAGCTTCAGCATCAGTCCTTCCAGTGAATATTCAGGGTTGATCTCCTTTAGGGTGGACTGGGTGGATCTCCTTGCAGTCCAAGGGACTCTCAAGAGTCTTTTCCAACACCACAGCTCAAAAGCATCACTTCTTCAGCGCTTAGCTTTCTTAATGGTCCAACTCTCATATCCATACATGACTACTGGAAAAAACATAGCTTTGACTATACAGACTTTTGTCAGCATAATAATGTCTCTGCTTTTTAATATGCTGTCTATGTTCGTCATAGCTTTTCTACCAAGGAGCAAGCATCTTTTAATTTCATGGCTGCAGTCACCATCTGCAATGATTTTGAAGCCCAAGAAAATAAAGTCTGTCACTGTTTCCACTGTGTCCTCATCTATTTGCCATGAAGTGATGGGACTGGATGCCATAATCTTAATTTCTTGAATGTTGAGTTTTAAGCCAGCTTTTTCACTCTGCTCTTTCACTTTCATGAAGAGGTTCTTTAGTTCCTCTTCAGTTAACACTGTAAGGGTGGTGTCGTCTGCATATCTGCTACTGCTGCTAAGTCACTTCAGTCGTGTCCGACTCTGTTCGACCCCTTAGATGGCAGCCCACCAGGCTCCCCCGTCCCTGGGACTCTCTAGGCAAGAATACTGGAGTGGGTTGCCATTTCCTTCTCCAGTGCACAAAAGTGAAAAATGAAAGTGAAGTCGCTCAGTTGTGTCCTACCCTTAGCGACCCCATGGACTGCAGCCTACCAGGCTCCTCCGTCCATAGGATTTTCCAGGCAAGAGTACTGGAGTGGGGTGCCATTGCCTTCTCCGCTGCATATCTGAGGTTATTGATATTTCTCCCGGCAGTCTTGATTCCTGTTTGTTCTTCATCCAACCCAGCACTGCACATGATATACTCTGTGTATAAATTAAATAACATATTAATAGTACCTCCTAAAGGGTTGTGATGATCAAATGAGTTAATATATTAAAAACAGTTAGAATAGTGACTGAAAATAATACATATTATTGTTTTAGGGCAGCAAGAGGTTGAAGCAAATATGGCAAAATGTTAATATCCAGTAAGTCTTTTTTGCTTAATTAAAAAAAATTATTTCTTGTTTTTGCATAATTACAAAAATTTATTTTAACTTTAAGGTCTTTATCATAATGAACATTTCATATCTTCATTGTCTCAAAGAAGCTAAGGAAGCAAATGTCGGACATGTGTCTCAAAGGAGCGTGGCCCCTCAAACTTTATGTTCATGTTCTATTTTTAGATAAATCCTTCTGTGCCTTATTGGGCTTACCAGCTTGTTGGCCAACAGCCAGTGCTGCTCACATTAACAAATGTAGTGTCTCCTTGAGGCAGGCTTGGTGTTTCTGCTCTAGAGGATGGAGTTAAACCAACAGAAACCTGACTCATCCAGTTATTGCAGTAGCCGACTAATCAACAAACGCAGAGGGATCATCAGAGAGTCTATACCAGAGAGTGTGGGTAAACAGTGAAATTTGACTAAGTATTTGTAAGCCATTAATGGCCCATATAGTTAAAGCAACCAGAGAAAACAAATTCCAAAAGTCTCTCCATTTGCCAGTCTTGAGTATGAGAAAAGTGGGGAAGTCAAAGTTTTTATGGAATTACTTACATTGATGTTTTTAACCTTGTGCTGTGCTGTACTAAATCATTTAGTCATGTCCGATTCTGTGACCCTATGGACTGTAGCCTGCCAGGCTTCTCTGTCCTTGAGAGCCTTTAGCCAAGAATACTGGAATGGGTTGCCATGCCTTCCTACAGGGGATCTTCCTGACCCAGAGAACTGGTCTTTTAAGTCTCCTGCCTTGGCAGGCAGGTTCTTTACCACTAGCACCACCTAACCTTACTTGTATTGAAGTAAGGTTCAGTTCAGTTGAGTCACTCAGCCGTGTCCGACTCTTTGCGACCCCATGAATCGCAGCACACCAGGCCTCCCTGTCCATAACCAACTCCCGGAGTTTACTCAAACTCACGTCCATCAAGTCGGTGATGCCATCCAGCCATCTCATCCTCTGTCGTC